TCCTGGAGTCCCAGGATCGAGTCCCGCATCGGGCTCCCTGCTCGGCGGGGGGTCTGCTTCTCCCTCTCATGCTCTCTGTCTCTCATCCTCTGTCTGTCAAATAAAGAAATAAAGAAATAAAGAAAGAAAGAAGAGAAGAGTGCCTTATTTTACTATCAAACAATAGATGGTGGAGGTGTGCTAAATACTATTCAAGATCACTTCTTGGATATTTATATTCCTGTAGAATACTCTGAATCTTTATTACTCTCTGTAGGTTAATGGATAGGAAGTTTTTTAAATGGTCTTGGTAAATTCAGAAGTATATATGTTTCAGTGCCAGGGTATGAACCAGTGTAATGTCTCCAGTGTTGAGGAGGCATGGTCGTGGTCATGGACAGATTACATTAGGAATGAATGTAAGTGGCTGCTCTCCTCCTACCTGACATCTCTGCTCTTGTCAAAGTAACCCGAAGCATCTGCTGCCCATTGTGTGGAATCCTATTTCTCAAAGAATGGTCCACTGACCCTTGCATCAGAACCAGCTGGGCAACTGTTAGAAATGCAACTTCTGGGCTGGCTCAGTCCATAGCGCATGCGATTCTTGATCTTGGGGTTGTGAGTTCGAGCAGTCAACCTCCCACAATGCTACAAGTAAACAGTATCTGGGTTTTTCAACCGAGGAAACTAAGACCAAAGCAGTAACGTGCCAAGGTCACTCAGGGAGCAAGAGAAAAAGCTAGGATCTTGAAAATGCACTGTACTGCCTTCCTTCAGTGAGAAATATATAATGCTTTTTCTCCATGATTTTTGTTTTGTTTAATAACATCTTTTTCTTCAATAGCTTCCTTTTTTAGTTATCAGTATCTTAGAGATACCTCCATGTTATCCACAATAGAGGAAGGCCAGTACTGTATGAAGTTCATAGACATGAAGAACCAGATTTCCCAGATGGGACTCCCAACTCTGCTTTTTACCATAAATGTGATCTAAGGCAAGTTTTCAAGTTATGTGCACCTCTTTTTCTTGGAAATCAGGATATTAGTTACCTATGTCCTAGGGATATTATGAAGATTAAATTAGTTAACACAGGGCAACCCTCTTGGCTCTCCTCCCTTTTCGGGAGCTTTGTACTACCTGTGCTTCACTGTACTCTCAATAAACTTTGCTTTGCTGCCCACCAAAACAAAACAAAACAAAAAAATAAATTAGTTAACACATATAAAGCCCTTAGACTGATATCTAATATATAGTTAAGTGCTATAAAATTTTTGCTTGTTCTTTTTAATAATTACATTGCCTTCCACAGCATGTGTGGACTACAATATATTTAATCATTCCTCTATGAATGGAAATTTTGTTGGTTGCAAATTTTTGGCGTTATAGACAATGCCACAAAGAACATTCCTGATTATGCCTTCTTGTGCACATGTTTGTCCACACATTGGTTC